GATCAAGGGATACTTCATAATTTTTATACGCGAGCATACCAAGCACTGATAGCTCTTCAGAATCTACTCAAAAACAGTACATGGAATTCACAGGACTTCACTGAGGCGAATTCACAGCAAAACAGATTTGATCTCTGGCTAGCCGGTCTTTCCTACAAACTTATTCCATAGCGTCAGTGATTACTTACTGAGATTGCGTGCACTCATAATCACTTGCAAAAGTGCGTAATCGAATATCCTTTCTTGTTAACTATATGTATCGTCTAGTCGTGCATGTCAAAAGTCTGCCTTCATTTAGAAAGTTGTTTTGAGCAAAAAATCTCAGGTATAATTAGAACTTGTCAGTTCCTACAAAAAGTCCCAAGGGCATATAGAGATATTTCATCAAAAAGCAATGCGCAAAACCGCCCCTGAGGATTATAGTGCGATTTTGATCTTAATCACGTGATATTGGTGGAAGTGTATTGAATGCCAGCAGTCAGTGCGCAGAATTTTTCGAAAACGGCACTCCGATAATCATGACGTGGCGACAGGCAGAATGTCTATTGATATTTTATTTTTGAAAAGGACATATTTCATTCATAGTTCAGATGCACAGTCGATCCACTTTCTAAAACATGAGGTTGACAAAGGCTACTCTTGATAGCATGAGAAGGAGGACAGAGAGACTTTTCAACAAGGAAGGCTGCTGCCACAGTCACAATGAACTTGTTGTAGGACTTGACGAATCCTCACACAGAATACACCTTGAATTTAGAAGACACAAAATTCAGGACTCTTATAGCGCGCTCGAATAATCTGAGGATGTCGCGCTGATCAGTATCTGATTATGGCTTCACATTTGTAGAGATATTTTTGTTGTATAGTCTTTGAAGCATCACTCCTATCTCATTATAATAAGTGTACGGATACGCATGCTTTACTCATTAGTTCACACAGCAATATTTCGTGTTCGCATGTTGAGTGAACTTCAGCGCTATCTCGATCCAAATCATCTTTCCTGCTTTCTACTATCCATATGACTGATTGTACTAACCTACGAAAATGAGATTCCTCATATTCTACAGGCGCTGGTCGCAGACAATTGTAATTCTTCTCAGAACACTCAGAAAGCAACACATTGAAGAATTTCTTGAGTTCACTGAGGCTAATTCATATCGGAGCAAATACGATATTTTCAATGTGATTATAAGGGTAATAAAAAAACAACCTCCGATGAAAGTCTGAACAAAACATTTGTGATTTCATATTTGAGAACAATGGTTGACGGTCATGAGATTTACTACATTTATCAATTAGGTGGAATTTCTTCCGAATTTTGTAGTATTGGTCGCGACTATAACCAAAGTTGTGAATTTGTTGAAGAGATTCTATAAGATCTCTTACACTCTTAGTAGTCTTCGCAGACATTCAGAGTACATTAGATTATTTATTAATATTCTTCTACCTAAGAGCACATGTGGTGCAGTGCTTAGAGGTGCTCTGCGTCGCACACAAGGTCAATGGCGCATCTTTCAAGGATTGATCAACGACGAGAGCTTTATCCTTTATCCTTCTATCTTACGTCCAATAATCAATGAACATTTTTGTCCATTTATTAGTTGTCAGCGCTGACTGGCGCACCGCATTTTTTTCACAGCTATTGTTTTGGGGTCCCCGTCACACTCCCGTGTTCGTCAACATCGCCCGATATGCCATAACACTGTTGCTCACCATTCACATTCATCATCACCGTTGTTATTTCTGTAAATTCCGATCCGTCGCTAAAATGCATAACTGACGTGTAAAGGCTGCAATAGCAACTACCGTTATCTCTAAGCGCTAAAAATATTGTAATAACTTCCAATTTGAAAACTTGTTACTTTTGTGACTTATTGCGGGTGAACGATCCGACAGAATTCAATTGAGATGGGCAGCTGAGATCTGAATGATCTCGACTCTCTTCAAAGATTTCCTCATGATTTGTTTTTTATCAGACGCTATAATGTTGCAGATTGCCTCGCTAATATAATAAACGATAACTTCTCTATGGCATAACGATATCACAAATCAAAAATAATTAGCGAACAATTGCGCCTAATTTTAGCTGTGTTCATTCACCCTCATTACTGGTTTCATACACCTTATGATTAAATCCGAAACAATGAAAATGTATGCGTACATTTGGTGATATGATCGTGCTTCAGACTGGAAATGTCGACTCCTTCTCAACCCGGAAGACTCTGTTAGGGAATCATAACCCTGACGTGCATAGTACTCTTTATCTGGTGTCCAAAACTGATTATAGTGAAACGTGTAGATTAAACGGAAAAGAGATATCGATGTGCATTCACTCAAATTCATGTTAGTTCTGTGGGATTTTAAAATGGCATTAGGCGGCTGTATAAGTTGTAGATTGATCAGAAACTATTCAAAAATATCTTCCACACAAAAGTTTTCTCGTATAGAAACGACAATGCGGTAAATGACGATGGAACGACGATGTCTTAGGATTTTGTTATATAAGATTAATGTTTAGGATCTAAGCGCAGCAACAAAAAGTTTTGCCCGAAAAGTTCGTGAAGTGCTTCGAGATTACTGAACATGATTACATCAACGAGTGTTTTACGATCACATAAGGCTAACCGTAAAATATCATGTCAAATGAGTTCTTGGTAAACAGATCTACTTGACATGAAGTGAACATTCCGATTGGTGGTCGCTACTCATTAGAACTTTTTAGAATTTCCCCTTGATTTTGAATTTCGCACTGACATTAGATTGATTATTAAATTTGTGATTATGCACCCTATTAATAGCAACTGTTTCTGGTTTTGAAGTATGTGTTAGTGCCAAAATCTTAAGATTTGCTGCAAAATGGTCTGAGCAAGTTTTTGTCGTCCACCAACAACGTATTGACTTGATCAAGCAGCAGAGGTTCTGCGTTTTTTTAGTTTCTTTACCTCCTTTCTTTCTCCACACTTCAAAAATGATGAGTCTTGTTTTACTTCCACCACACATCTAGTAACTCTTTTTCAGAAAGAATTCAAGTAAATGAAGAAAATATTCCAGATAATCGCTTTTTGAGCCATCCATTTGGTCTCTTAATGGCAACTTACAGAGCCCTATACTCGTGTTTTGGCCTTGACAGCCTCGTCAGTAGCGCGGTACTCGTCGTCTTTACATTAGCCAATCCTCTCGCGGAACTAAACGCTGTATAGAGTTGGCGTCGACAAACATTTCACATGTACGACTAAGTGAAAATATCACTAAATGCCAGTGTTGTACACTAGACAGCTTTTGCTCTGTGTTATTATAGCGCAAGATCGAAACACGTTTATCGGGCTGTATAAGTTGTCGTATAACAGACCACATACGTGGCTCAACAAAAGATTATCGAGCTCATTGAAAGTAGAGCGTAGTCTTGAAAAAGCACTCGAAACGAAAGGAAAGTGCAGAAAGTAGTAATAAGGACATATACATACACATTAAGTCCATTTCATTGCATATTCTTTGCCACCAAATTGAGTGATCCCCTCTTTTGTAAGCAATTTGAAAAACCTATGTTTCTTGTATTGTTGTGAACGCGTTACTCTACGCTCATCTTTTATTGTTCATCACTCGCATGAGATTTGTTTGGCGAGGCTTTTCAGATGACCGATAAGCGCTCCGAGTTGGCTATTCGTCATCGCGTCCAAGTTTCTTTCATCCGTCACCAAGGTCGTGAAATTAGGAGACGTCTTTGTCGCCGGCATGGATGTGAACAATCGTAAAACGATCTCACACCTGCTCTGAAGCTTTGTTGGGTCTGAGTAGTTCAAAGCTATGTTGTAGTGATTAGAACATTGGCAATTTGCATTCCAGAACTTAACAACGGATCTTAGATGTCCATTAATTCCTTGGGCATGTGAAAAAACCGTCTCCTTTCCTATAGGCGTCACAAAAAAGGTTGGAGTATATATGGTTCAAAGATTGGCAATAATTAAGAACATGACCGTTTTTTTGAATTTTGATGTCCGAGGCAGGTTTGATACCAATTTTTCACAGGTAATATAATCAAGAATAAGGTAACGTGGTACGAAATACTTGGCCTTTTTTACCTACAGCTGAGCTGCTCTCACAAAATTATTGTTAATCAAGCAGAGCTTTTGAGGGCTTATTTATATGGGTAGATTTTTATGGAAATGCAAGTTTTAGATCCACTTTTGAATGAAATAGGTGTATTCAAAATTTCTAGTATTTCTACTGCATTTTTCGCAGTGCTATGATCATTCATATATTCTTAAGAGAAATGAGTGGTGAGCAAAACACGGCCTCGGGCAGGAATCGAACCCGCTTTTCATCCTATCCGCGACGCGTGCTCTGCCATTACACCACCGAGGCACATTTGCGCCACCACTCATTTTTCAACATCTCAACAAATGCAACATCAACTAATGAATGAAAATACTAGAAATTTCGATTATTAGTTATCACAATGGCTGTGAGCTCGGCTGAGTTTATAGAGCGAAATTGCACACACCGAGCAAACCTGCTAAGGGTTGGTGGCTGATAGCTAACATAGAGATGTTGAAGAATCAGTGGTGGCGCAAATGTGCCTCGGTGATGTAGTGGTAAAGCAAGCGTCCGTAGATAGGACGAAACGCGGGTTCGCTTTCCGCCTGAGGCGTGTTTTTGCTCACCACTCAATTCTCTTAGGAGTGTATGAAAAAGGTGTGATGTGAGAATTTTGCTTGAGCTGTTCTCATGACTTATGTCACTGGAGAAGTCAAAGACTTCCTGAAAAGCTTCAGCTGTCACTTGATAGGATTGTTCCGCACGAATAGTGGAAACGTTGAGTAGACTTTGTTTACCATTCAATACTGCAGGACAGCCTATTTTACTGGCTTGTAAATAGAATTCCCCTGGTATCGATAGATTGAATGTGTAATGTTAATCATATGTGCCCATTAGACTGTTCTTATAGACCTCACTGAAAGCAATATATAATCTGAAAATATATCTTGAGCCTTTTGCGGGATCAATATGCACTCATAAAGTGCTAGACATGCGTTCGGTGTTGGCCTTACAGTCTTCAGTACTACGGTCCTTCCGTTTCAGCTAATCCTTTACAAAAGGATATACCACCCACATATAAAGAAATTAATGCCGATATCATTTAGAAAATCAAAGCATGCCCGGTGATGAAATTTCCCCTTTTTTGCAGTGACCAACAGTTGATCGCTCCTGACCGGTGAAATGAAAAGGGAGGGGGTAGAGATTGATTGAAAGGAAAGGCACCGCTCAGATGTATAAACACTTGATTGAAAATCTAGCGCCCGTAGACAAATTTAGTGGTAACAGGACTTTTGGGACAATCAGATTATAGGAGAAGCACGTTGATTTTGTCTTATCGTTACATAGACACGGAGGAGCTTTCTCGAGCATTTAAGTGAAAAAACAGTTCCTCCTCAATGCTAGACAATGTTGATTACGTTGCACATACATTTGCTTGTGCTGGTCTTTACAGCTTGTCCGCAGTATGCTAGATTGTGGAAATTCTGTTGGAGTTTACTTATCTGATATTTTGATGCGTGATATTTATGTAGGAGCAGGTTCTTTCGAAGAAACACTGAACTAGCAGCCTTTAAACAATATCACCCTTCAAATGTGTCTTCAAAGTTGTTGCGATTGTGACGCTGTGTCAAGACACTTTAGCACCAAATTTTAGATCTCAACATGCATCAAACGTATAATCACAGACGGTTTCTTTTATAAGGTTGTTTTCAAGTTTCGTTTTACATAACAGAATATTGTTCGAACGATGTCACCGTACAATACATTGCTTTTGGCAATCTATGAATGAAGTATCAAAAACTTTCGTACCTCGTTATGAGGAATATCGACATAGCTAGTCGTACCTATATTTAGATAGCATCACATTTATAGGTGTTCATGTTTAAGTTCAATTAGATCGTCCGACAATATCATCGCATCTATATGGGCTTTGTGATTTCGGAAACTATACGTCGATAGTGGAGTAATCAGTGTAAGATCTTTGACGGCTTGATCAATATAGCCTGATATAGTTCTCATATTCCCTTTATCCGTGTTTGTTTTTGCACGCTACAGAACACATATGATAGAGAAGTTTGGCAACTGCACAACGTCTTTGCATTGGAAAAGTGATCTTATTTGTGGTCAACGACAATACGACTCTCGAAATACCTGTACTTGTTAGGTGGACATTGAAAACCATCAATCAATCCTAAAACGGTATATGAACATATATGATTTTAATTGAATAGTAAATACTGTTGTAATATACTAGTAAAATAGTAATGCAATGTTACTAGTAATAATAATATTATTGTTAATATTAGTGTTCAATAAGGATATTGTTCCATAGTGATGTTAATGTTTGCTATTAATAATTTGAGTAGTATTAACAATATATATATATATATATATATATATCCATGCAATTTAGAAAGTATTAACATTACGTTGTTCTGACTTGGAGATAAAGAATTCCTCAAAGATGCTACAAAACTGACTGCAATCAGGGTCCCACCAGAAGTAGATTCCACGACTACAACAACACACTTGATAAGCTTGTTTCATCAGTACATGAGGAGCAAATGAGTGTGGAGTAAGAGCAATTGTCAAGCTTTCTCAATCGGGCACTCACCAATCGTTGTTTGAACTGTCAAACATAAACCATAATCAGTGGTTCAAAACGAAAATGCAATTAACAACCTTGTGCACTGTCAACAAAGAAATGTATTGGGGAAGTGACGGGTATTTACCTTTAAAAACTTGGGTAAAAGTTCAAAATGGGTCGCAAAACAGCAGAGTCAATTAGCAGCATAATGAATGAGCTCTGCTCGCGAGTTGCTAACGAACGTATAGTGCAATGGTGGTTTCAAGTTTCGTAACGGACACACGATCTTCGATGATGGGGATGTCAAATATCATTTGAAAGTAACGAATGAGGCTAATTTTCTTGAGAGAATACGGCTTTTCGAAACAACCTAAACGACTGCCATTCTACGGTCTTTCACAATTTCCAAATCGTAAAAATAATCGAGTTTCAGCACAGGTCATTAGCCTCGATTACTTTCGCACTAATTTAGTAAGAACTCCTACGATTTATAAATAGAGCGGCTCTTGGGCTCATAACTTACTCTGAGCTTTACAGTCATATAATATGTCTGTCTTCTAATATAGACTTACCCCTAGTGAAGTTCTACGCTGTTTATCATTTCTGGCGCTCCGAGAACAGCCGTCTCTCAAGGCTTCTTAACTGTCGTCTTCACTACGCTACGTGAATAATTATTGAGCCTGTTGCATCCCTTATCGATAACGGCATCTTTTCAAAAGCCGATTGTTCTTCGAGCAAATTCCACCTCATGATGCCTTCATAGTTTGTTTCTTAAACTTAGTGGCATTCTCTTCTTCTGACAAAATGTGTAAACGAACCGCAGGAGTGTTGAGAATGTGTGCCAACATTTCAATATAAACTGCAGAATCGCAATTAATCCACTTGGATAACAACTTGTGTAGCCTAAAAATTGCGGTTCTTCAGAGATAGAAAGAACAGAGGGTTTGATGTTTGGGAGACACTTATTGATAACAGTGACCATGGATGTGCAGAAGGGTCCTATTATTTACTGCACTGTGAGGAAATCACATGAGATTACGTGAAGATCAGTGACTAATTTCGAAAAGATGATTTCGCATAGTTTCAAAAGCGCAGTAATCAAGCAGAGCGAGATGTCCAAGGCCCACATGGCGTAAAAAAGCAGAAACTACGAGAAGCTACGAGCTAATCAAAGAGTTGGAAAAAACATGATGAATTTTTTTTTAACACATAGTCAAATTTCATACTGTTGGAAATGGGCGGATGTTGACATGTTTCACAACTAAATTTCGATAGATAGATTCCAAAGTGAACACAAATACAACGTGAAAAACGCAGAATCGCAGAAACAACGCCGATTTCAGTCACGTGATAAACACCAAAGTATATTGTTAGTAATTTGCATATTGTGGAATACTAAAAAAGTGAAGATATAGGTGGATCGTGGCTTCGCGTTAGAAAAGGTATCATTAATCTTTTATCATCAGAAAGCGATGCTGTTCCGTGATTCACATCGCGCAAGCAGTGCCTAATCTAGCAGGTGAGTTTCAATATGCAGTATGTTTGCTTGCTCGAAAAAGTAGGCAGAGAGTATTCTTTCAAGACAGAAGGCTATCCATGTATTCACACTAAACTGGGTTATAGTACTTGGACGCGTTCAGTATACCACTGAAATTTCGAAGACATGGGATCCAAGATTGTGAGAACATACTCGAAGACCAATGGTGTCGCGGTACTCCCTAGTGGATTGATACTTCCACATTTTGAAAACAAAAACTTAGCCAATTTCACGTTGTGAAAGATTTAAAGTAGTAAATGCCACGATTACAATGCAATGAATGGATTGTGAAGTATGCTTTCAGAAGTAGATATTTTTCGACACTGGGTTCTTTTCAGTTATGAGGCAACAAGTGAAAACCAGCCTTAGTCGCTGGGCAGGAACTTTTCATAGGAGTGCTAGCAATGAAGCTAAGACTTCTAGCTACAGCCATGGTTTTCGAAAAAACCTTTTTGACGATGTTACAAATGATGATTTTTTGAGTTGCAAACGGGCATATTTCTCACCGGTTAGAGTTCTTTCTTCGAAATATTGATAATCATTCGATAGTGTAATTGTTGCTGATTCCAATGCTGTGCTTATATCGTAAAAGGACCTTTCCTCTGTGAGCATGCAGGTAAAATAAGTTGAAGTCGCGGGTGCCACAGAAGTGGACTTTGTCCAAAAACGTGGCGCTGAGTAAGGCAAGCAACGTGAATTGGTCGACCACCTTAGTTAAAGATGCAAATTCAATATATTTTACCTTCTTCGTTACGGAGAAACGGTCCTTGCAAAATATAAGCGCAGCACTGGAATAAGCAACGACTACGTTATTGAATGATTGCTGATAGTTCCAAAGAAGGAGATCCGTCCGGCGAGGATCGTGCGCGTCTGAAGCTAGTTTTATTTCAAATTTTAGAGCGTTATAAAAAAGTATCTCAACTTGGTTCTTTACTAATACTTCTCTGAAAAGCTCCAGTCCAGCCAAAGAGGTCAATTTTCATTTGTCCCCTCATAACCGCCGAAAGGAACCCTACGCTGAATAATAGTAAACTTTTTCAGTGAATTCTGTACTGAGAATCGTTAAGTAAAATCAAGAAAATGTGTAAGTCCAATAAGTGGTGTTAAGAGATTCTCTTTCTTTGTCCGATCATTTGCATCATAGAAATAGTGAAATAATCGCATTCTAGCTGAAGTTGGACTAACCACTCTACTTCTAGATCGGACATAACGGTTCATTTCCAGTGATCAATGAGCTCCAGTAATTCAATTCAGTTGACTTTCTTACATTTTGCTATCAATAGCGATGATGAAGCTGATCTGCGAGTCGATTCTGACCCAGAGATATTCCTTAAATTTTTATATACGTAGTATGCCAGGAATTCGTAACTGTCCCATGAGCACTCGTGAAACATGATTTTAAGTTTTCTGGAACATCACAGTGGCGTTACATTGGAACGAGTTTCATTCCACACCAACAGGTCTTTTCTATAAGCATTTTGATAGCAAC